ATATATATATATATATATATATATATATATATATATATATATATATATATATAAGTTTTTCACGTTTTTCTCAGTTTTCCTAAGAACCCTAACAGCCACCAAAACCCCCAAACCCTAGTTTGATTTCTTGGAGAAGATTGGAGGCTTTCGAGTGGGATTTTCTTGGTTTTTGGCCTTTGGAGTGGAGATTTCTTTCAACCTTGCTCCTAAAACATTTTTTGACAATCTCAGGTGAGTATCATCTCTGCTAATCCCCCTTCAAGTTTTCAAAATGCTTTTAAAGAGATTTAAACATATTTTGTAGAGCCTAAATGACTAGATTATGAATAAAAGACAACTCGTTTGTATTATATGTAGATAAAGATTAGGTCTTTTCATGCTAAAAAGGTTGAGAACGAATTTTACAGATGTATTTAAGATCTGAAGATGATTTTAAAACGTGGTTAATTTAAAGAAAGAAGTTTGATTCGTCGTTTTGAGCTTTTATGCATGTTTTAGGGTTTTGAATATAAATATAATGCATAAATCATGGTTATATATGTTGATTTTGTTTTCAGATATTTTTATCTGCTGTAACATGTTTGTATGCAAGATTCATGAAGTTTTTACCATGTTTAAATCACCAAAACATGACGTGAACACGACACACACAAAAATCCTAGAAAAACTGGATGTTAGGCTCATGGTCGACCGCCATGGCCGACCGCGTGCAGGGCAGAGACTTGGGTAGTCTCTGGAGCCCGTCGCAGTCTACGACCAGTCTGATGTTAGCCCGTGCATGGTTTTGGTTTGATTTCTGTTTTTTGAGCGTTTCTCTTGACCTTGTGATGATTAACTACAATGTTAAAACTTGCTAAACACCTGGGATGATGGTAAACTTCAGTTGTGGACACACACACCGAGATATGCGCACTTATACTTAGTTTGTGTTAAATTAACACACTTTTGTCACAAGTTAAAATTTATAAATACATATAACTAGTATTTGATCTTTCACGTATCCGGAAATAGGAAGATAAAACCTATTATCGCAGAACGATTGAGTAAGAGTATTACAATAGTATCGTGAAGATAAAACCTATTATCGCAGAACGATTGAGTAAGAGTATTACAATAGTATCGTTATTACATGTATCCGGAATAGGAAGATAATAAAACCTATTACCATAGAACGATTGAGTAAGAGTATTACAATAGTATTATTATTATATGTATCCGGAATAGGGAGATAATAAATCCTATTGCCACAGAACGATTGAGTAAGAACATTACAAGAGTATCGCTATAGCACAAGATGATGCACACATAGATATTTGATCAGTTGTAAGTTTTACTTGCATGATAGATTACCCACGAGTAGGGTATTTCTTTTGAGATTTTTGCACACCCGTTATGGACGGCAGTTATATTCATTTTGGTTTGGTTGGCATCCTCTTATATTAGAGGAGGCTACTCGGATGTAATTCGAGATGATGTATTTATTCTTTATGTTGGAGATTTGAGTATGTTTCTTCGACTATTTGTTTTTCATAGAGAACTATATGAATGATTTGATATATGTAAGTACTGACTCTATTTTCTTATATACTCCTACCCCTTCCCCTGGAGAGAGGTAGTGATGATCTCGCTAGTGCTTTGACACTCGTTGTTTTCCCTCTTTCAGGCAGCGAGTCCGGCCCACAGAGAGTCGCAGGATGATGGGACTTCTTAGTTGTCTATTTAGCTATTTATTATACTTTGTAGTTATTGCAGCACTCCGCTTGTAGTTGATTATTTTTAGACTCTAGATTGATACTTTATTTTAGAGTTGAGAGCTCTTGTGAGACTTTATTTATTTGACTCATTGTATTTGAGATCCAGTTTACACTCAAAGATATTTCTATTCTATTTCAATTGGGCTCATTCTTGATATTTCTTATGTTTCTTCTGTGTATATTCAATGTTGCCTATTTCTATTTTGCATGTCTGTACCTTCACCTATTTATTATTTCCACTAGAGAGATAGTGATTGTGATGGTGAAACATGTCGTAGCATGGTGGTTGGTACTTGGCAGATTTGACAATCTGGGTTTCATCTGGGACTGCAGCCTTGTGTGAACCCTGAGACGTCACTGTTGGTATCAGAGCTCTAGTTCAAATATCCTTAGGATCATCCATGTGTCATATTATGGAGTTAGGATAGAGTTTACTAGGGATCATATATACAGTCCACTAGGAATCCTTAGTATGAGTGAGGACGTACTATATATGTATGCGGAAAATCTAAATTTTTTTATGATCTATTTGCTTTGAATAATAAAGCATGATATAAAATATATGTGATATGATTTACTTAATGGTATATGTTATATCCTTCATGCTTGAGATCCTATTTACTGCGTAATAAGCTCTATTTTGGAATTATAGATGTCAGGAAGAGGTCGTGAACGCCGAGTTACTTGTGCTCAGGGAGTTGAGCAGGATGATAGGGAGGCCGAGCCACAGCAGGCTCCACAGTACTTAGTGGATCTCATAGCGCCCTTGACAACTCGTTTGGCGGCTACTGAAGAGCAATTAGCAGATCAGGCTCGACAGGGAACTCCCATTCAGGAGGAGATACCAGAGAGAACACCAGTAGTTGCACCACCACCTCTAATTAATGATGGAGTGGCGGAGCAGGAGGCTTGGCTTCGTTTGGTAGAGAGGTACCAGAAGTTGAAGGCTCTAGAGTTTCATGGCTCGACGGACTCTATTACAGCACACAAATGGAAGGAAGATGTGAGTAACATCTTGGATATGCTGAATGTTAATTCTATACAGAAACAGAGGCTAGCGGCTTTCAGCCTCAAAGGCGATGCAGGAGGATGGTATAGACTCCGTTTCACCACAGAGCAGAGGATGTCGGTCTCGTGGGAGAATTTTATATATCTTTTTGATGAGCAGTATATTTCGGCTGCAGCGAAAGCTGGAAAAGAGTTCGAGTTGGCTCGATTAGAGCAGGGGGATATGTCTGTCATGGACTTTAAGAGTAAGTTCATATCATTGCTTAGGTTCACCGGTATATGGCACACAGAGGAGCGTCAGGCTCAGATGTTCATAATGGGACTTCGTCCAGGGTTGCGCCGGTATATAGTATCTCGGAGGTTTCGTTCAGTGCGAGAGGTGGCAGATGCTGCCATGGCTCAATAGACAGATACGACCATATTCATCAAGGGCAAGGACAATGGTAAATCAGGACAGTCCAAAGAGAAAGGAAAAAATAAAAGACCATTTGGAGGCTCAAAAGGACCCTATCAGTAGGATAAGGGTCCGCATAAGAAGGTCCATCAGCAGGACCAAAGAGCACAACAGCAACGCCGATTTTAGAGAGCTTGTTACAATTGTAACAAGATTGGACACAGAGCGGTAGAGTGCCGCAGTGCACCCGCAGCAGGTCAGCAGGGCAGGACTCTGCAGCATCAGCAGAACCGTGCTCAGGGACACGGTCAGGGCCAACAGCTGAGGATTAAGGCATCCCCTACAGTTCCGAGGATTAAGGGACAGGTTCGAGCGGTCTAGGAGACCTAGTAGAGACAGATGACACCATTCACTCTAGATAATGCAGAGCAGCAGACCGATAGAGTGTATGCAGTTGTTCCTCACGATCATGACGCGAGCGGAGCTGTGGTGGAAGGTACGTTCCGTGTGAACTCCTTTACAACACGCATTTTTTTTATTCTGGCGCTTCGCATTCTTTTATCTCCTATGATTTTACGGTTAGACTTCAACTTGTAGCTTAGCCGTTAGATTTTTCTGTTGGCCTTCTTGTTTTGATGATGATTTACAAACAATTTACATCTAATATTGTTTGTCTAGTGTTTATGTTTTATATTTATTTTAGGCAAACAATATGTTGGAGGATGGATGGAATAGAGCTTCAACGATCATATCCAAAGGAGGTTGGCGGAATGTCGGTGAAGCCTTGCAATTCAAGTTAAAGATCAAGTTCAAGCTTCATCCGCAACGTGTACCAAGTCAAGCTTAATTGAAGATCAAGATTGCTTGGGTAATACAGTTTAGGATTTATATTATGTGTGTTAAGTACTCTAAGCTCAATTATCTATACACACACATTTTATTGGTTTCCTTGTATATATATGTAGTCACATATATATACAACACAAGTTTTAGTTTTCATATTTATAAATATGAAATTACATGTTTCATATTTATTATTGTGATTTGGTTTATCTACTTAGATATGAAACAAATATATTTTTATATACATACTCATAGGTTTCATTTTCTATTGTATTTGTGAAAATATTGTATTCTTAGTTTGTAGACTTTAATATCAGTTTATACATGTTTTACTAAGTCTATAAAACATTTCACAAAGTTTCAAAAGTTTGTTTATGTCAAAACATCAAAATTCAAGTATCTCATATTTTCATGTTTTGGACTATTTTGCAAAATGATGATTTTTCACAAATGAGAAATGCAATTTGGAAAATTCTTTTTGTAACATGTTTGTTTTCATGTTTATATACATTTCCCAAAGTTTCATAATTTTTGGACTTCATTTGTTATTTTTAACATTTTTCCAAAGTCTTAAAAGTCAGCTTTAAAATCAGGTTTTGAAATGTCTGTTTTCGGTCGACCGCACCGGTCGACCGATACTGAGTTCTCGTGTTCACTGGGCGACAGAAGAGTTTCGTCGTCGAGCCGCCGCGGTTGACCGGGCGAGCTTTTCTTCGGTCGACGCCCGGTCGAACCGATAAGTCATGCTAGTGTTTTTTCTCGTGTTTGACCTGGATAGCGTCGACCGAAATTCCGCGTCGGTCGACCGATCGTGTTCTGTCGGTCGAACCGGCGAATTGTCTTCGGTCAACCACGCGCTCGTCTAAATGCTTCAACCGGTATTTTTATTATACTATTGCTGGGAGTGTTTTTGGTCTTTGTTTTCGGAGGAGTTGGCTGAGTTTTGAGAGGGGTATAAATACCCCATTGGCCATTCAGCTCTCCACTAACTAAATGAGATTTTAAAGAAGTTTAAAAAGTTGTTAAACAAGGGTTTATAGTTTGTTTAAGTTTGTTTAATGAAAAGCTTTTAGCATTTGGAGAGTTTGTTTTTTATGATTCAATTCAACAGAGCTTGAGGACGATCAGTCTATTGGTGTTGTGGGCCATCCACTCTTCTCCGCTCCACTTCTTGATATATTGAGGAAAGTTTTTAAAATACTCTATTCTAGCTCTTTTATATATTTGATTATCATTGTTATTAAGAGCTTGAACTACTTTGAGTTTAGTTTTGATTATATCTCTTTTGTTCACACACAACCTTTTTGAGCTCTATTGTATTACATTTGTGGCATAGTAAAATTGCTTATAGGTCCGCTTAACACGGCTTGCAACACTGAACTAAATGAACCATCGGGGCGACGTGTCTGAACAGAAACGGTCAGTCCACAAACACCAGAAGCCAAAGTGACACGCAATGTAAGCGGATTAAGAGGCTACTGAAGCTGACGACGTACGTGAACGACGGGAATGAAATCACTCGCGTTGGCGGAATCAAACCAACGGTCCAGGGAGTCAACAGAGTCATCTCAAGCCATGATAACGGATTCGAACTCAGACACCACAGCCGATTTACTGCTAATCGGGATCCAAGACTCTAAATCAGGATTCAGAAAATACGGGGGTTCAGAGACGCCGCAGGCGAAGCCGATGATCGCGATCAACCGCACGCGCATGATCAGTTTTGGAATCAACTCAGAGTCGGTTATTGCCAAATCAGGCAATCAAGTCAACGAATCAATTTCAGAACCAATGCAAACCGCAAAGCCGAATCACTGGATGAAGCGATACAAGGACGCCGGAAATAACCGAAAGACGGAGCGCAAGCCGGAGTGCTTCGCCAAGAGCTAAGCCACCCTGGGGTGGTCTTGGGCCAAGCGCGAGCTCACCCTAGGGTGGCTCGGCATGAGCCGAGCCACCCTGAGGTGGCCGCCCAGATCTGTGCCAAATGCACAGATCTGGTTGCCTATAAATAGGCGGGGTCATTCATCATATTTTGGGGGACTTTTGGAAGAACTTTTGGAGAGCCGAAACTCTGCCGGATTGAGACCTCATCTTGGAGTTTTTTGAAGGCTTGAAGACTTGGACATTCAGATCTGATTCTTGGCGAGCACCCGCATCACAAAAGGCAGGAGTTTGAGGGGATCGAGATCTCAGATCTACGTTGTTACACTCCGGATCAAAGCTTGGTCTTTGATCCCGAGATTCGAGCGATTGTTTCCTTGGTGAAATAATCCCTCCGGCTATTATTTCCTTGGTGAAATAATACCCGTTATACTGCGTAGATCTGTTCGGATCTAGATCGCGCGGTGGTCCACGGCAAACAACCCCGGCGCAGGCAAACAACCCACCCAAGCGAGTGACCGAATAACAGGAGCTCGCGATTTGTTCACAAGGAGAAAAAGTTGTAATTTTCAATTTTCTTTATTTTTTGATTTTCATTGTAACCGGATCTAAAAAAGACCGGATCTTCTGTAACCGAAAAACTGTTATTTAAGATAGCAATGACATCAATGAAGAAAGCAACGATTTTTCCCGCGAACAATCTGGCGACCACAGTGGGAGCCACCGATCTCACTGTTGAGATCGGAGCGTCGCAGCCGCGGATCTCGATCCCGGTCGTGGAGGAGGTCGAATATGAGTTCGACCAGCAGAAGTACGAGGAGTACGTGTCCTCGTCTGGATCAACCTCCTCCCGTAAGTCCAAGAAATTCCAGAAGTTCTCCTCCAGGAGAAAAGTCCGTTGGTGCGAAGAAGTTGAAGCCACCAACGACAACCTCACCCCGATCGACGCCGAAGTTGCGTCGGGTGAAGTCCCACCGGCCTCTAAGCAGGTCAAGTCCGCCGTCGAAGGCGTGGTGACTCTCTCTAAGAGAGCTCGCCAGAGGCAGCGTCAACGCCTCGCGAAGCAATTCGCCAAGGCCATGGAGTCCGTTGACGGGGTCCGCTACAATGCGGATCTGAAGAACAAACGAGGCAAACAGCCTCAACATCAAGTGAAGAATGGTTCCTCCAAGCCATCAACGATGGAGTGGGTCCGGGTCAAACGGAACCGTACGACGCTGGAGGAGCGTATCCGCAAGCGCCGCGCATTATCGGCGCAAGTACGGGCCAAAGCTGAAGAAGCCCGTAGAAGACTGCAAAAGGAGGTGACGAAGAAGCCGCCACCAACCCGCCAAGTCTGGAAGCCGAAGTCTGAAGTGGCAACTCAGGCCAAAAAGCAACCATCGCAGCCTTCTAAGCAAGGTCAAACTCCGGCGAGTTAACCAAAGTCGCCGTTAATTCCTATGGCCATTCTGGGAGATCATGCAGAATCATCCCGAAGGAGGAAGCCGGTTTTGGAGCACCTCGGTCCACTTCCCAAAGAACGAGGCAAAACTCCAGTTCAAGAACGGTTGGGGCAAATGAAGAAGTCCCAAATAATTCAACATGCTGGGGGTCGCCGCAACCCTCAACATTTGGAGAAAATCGTGGCACCCAAGCGCACAACTTTGCGCATCGAAGTGCAGGAGCCCGTTGAAGATTCACACCCACAAAGGCGTGTTTCGAGGCGTGTGACTCTGGAGAGCTCAAAGAAGGAAATTCATTCTCAGAAGGAAACGTTGTTGTTAGATAACGATGACGTTATACCTGGGAGATCGTGCCAACACACGATAGGTTGCTCCGACTTTCAAACGGACAAGCTGTACTATTGTGCTGGAGGTACGATCAAATCCAGAAAGAGGAGCCCTCAAAGATTAGAGACTCAATGTCCTTGCTCAAAACTCATTCGGGCGGTATTATCTGAGTGCGACTGCACCAAAATGTTTCCCGAAAGAGTTTCCGTGTTCCAAAGACTCAGCATGGAAGCGCCAAAGCCAAGGACTAGACGTTTCTGAAGAAGAGGAACAATGGTCAAAGATGATGAACGTTCAAGGGTCACTACCAACATGACCAGCAAGGGGACATCGGCACGGGATGATTTCGAGTCGATTTTGAAAGCCTCCCGGCCTAGAACTCGTCTGCAGTCCGGAACCATCGAGAGAGCAACCTATGGTAGGGTTCGGACAAGACGCCCTTCAGAAGATGAAGAATCTGATGCTGGCTCCGCAGTTACATCAGATAATACGGTATCCAGCGAGGGACAACCCCGCGAGGCGCTTATGATAAGTGTGGAGCAAATTGCCAAGATGATTGAAGACGCTTTGGCTAAGCAGCAGGAAATTTTCAGGTTCGAGATGCAAATGACCATGCAGAACATGAGAGAAATGCATGACCAACAAATCCAAGCATTGACGAACCAGCAAGGCGAGCCAAGTCGTCGCAACCAAGTCCATCAGGAGGACGAGGATACGAATGCTCCTCCCGTCAATGCAGGGGGTGGTAACGGGAATGCTATTGAAGATACAGGTGAAAGCCTAAAAATTAAAAACCTCGAGAGCAAAATCAATACATTGATTTCCGCCCAAGAGACGAAAAAGACGGGCATTCCTTGTCCATACCCAAGAGAGTGGGAATCAATCCCATATCCGGCGAAGTTCAGTCTAATTAACTTCACGCCGTTTAATGGGATGAGTTCACCCACTCAGCATTTGATTTACTTCAAATCGCACTTGGGAGTCATCTCTGGTAATGAGCCTCTGATGGTGCGGTCATTCGTTGGCACTCTTCGCGGAGCCGCCTTCGATTGGTATCGCCGCCTCAAGCCAGGAAGCATAAACAGCTGGGACGACATGGAGACTAAGTTCCTTACAAATTTCTTCGACGACGACACCGAGATCTCTATCGGATCGTTGCTCGATGAGAAGCAGAAAGACGGGGAGTTAGTCGACACCTTCGTCAAAAGGTTCCGGAACAAGGCGATGAATTATCAGGACCCGATCACCGAGGAATTCATCCTCCAGACCTCATAAACAGCTGGGACGACATGGAGACTAAGTTCCTTACAAATTTCTTCGACGACGACACCGAGATCTCTATCGGATCGTTGCTCGATGAGAAGCAGAAAGACGGGGAGTTAGTCGACACCTTCGTCAAAAGGTTCCGGAACAAGGCGATGAATTGTCGGGACCCGATCACCGAGGAATTCATCCTCCAGACCTGCCACAACAACCTTTCGCTGGACGTGTTGGAAGCAATGGGCACAGCACCATCCAAGACATGGAAGGATCTGAAAGTTCGAGGAGAGCAAGCTGAGCGATTCCTCAGGAGAAAGAAGGCGGAGAGAAGCCAACCGGCAACAAATCCTCCGAAACAGAACTTCAACCAAAAAGGAAAAGGTAAAGCTCATGCTAATGCCGTTGATGTTAACCAAACTTTTCAATTGCAACCTCAGCAACAACAGCAGCAACGAGCGCCACAACAATCCCAACCGCATTGGCAACAACGGCCTCAGAAACAAAAGTCTTCGGAGCCGAGGTTCCCCAAAGTCTACTCCTTCAAGGATGATGAAGTTCCCGGCATCTTCAAATACTTGTTGGAGAACAACAAAATCCAGTTGCCGGCGATCGTGGATCAAGAGGGGGCCAGCAAGGTGACGGATCCAAAGTACTGCGCGTACCACAGAGCGGTCCACCACCCTACGAGATCATGCTACCACCTCAAGGACAAGATCCAGGCGTTAATCGACGTAGGGGTCATAACCCCGAAACCAGCCAAGAATGTGGGGGCAAACACAGTGTCAATCAGTTTGGGATCGGTGCCCACAACATGGTTCGAGCCGAAACGCGTCACCAAGGTGGGAATGAAGACGGTGAATGATGACCCACATGGACAGCGCCAAAAAGGGCTTGTGCCACATACAGCCCCAAACGGCGAAATCCTCTGGGTTCATCCCGATCTGATTGAAGATGAACAATGGGCTGGATCGTCATCCAAGAAGAAGTCCAAAGAGAAAGGAAAGTCTTGCTGCGGAGTCTCTGCTATCCCAGGAAAAGATGACGAAAGAATCATAGCTTTCCTGCTCTCTGAAGAAGAACAAGAAGTTTTTGCGACCCAAAGCGGAAACGAATATCACTACAACTATTCGTCACTTAGTGAGCAGGGGGTGGACAAACGGGGACCAGCCAAAACTCTCACAGAAATGGGGGTGATTACGAGTCCCACACCGGGTAAAGAAGTTCTACGACAGCCGGTGAATAAACCAAAAGAGAAGAATCCCCAAGAGGTGCAGAATCCGAAGCAGTCTCGTTTCAGCCGCCCGATTGGAAAGGATAAACCAGAGAGTTCGAAAACTCCATGCGCCTTCGACATCATGGCTCAGCTAGCTAATATTCTAGCGTGGATAACGCTATATTGAGTTGCTGCGGCTGTCTAAAAGAAACTAGAGAAGCATGCAAGAGGCTTGCGATTCGAAGCATTCCTCACTCAGATCAAACGCGGCGCCTGGGAACTAGAACTGTACTCACAGTGTAATGTGCAGCAAAACATTCCCTGCATCACTTCCCAAGGAAGACAGCAGACGAAGATTCATAACCATGATCGGCCCTTGTATTGTTGTCGGGTAATTGGCTCCAGCGAGGCACCGGGAATCCAAGAGATCCGGGTTCCGCTGTGACATTATCCCGCTTCGCCTAATGCTACTTGGCAATTCCATCAGCAATTGCATCTACAGGCATAGTCATTTACGGATTCAACACAGCGGGTCAAGACCTTTGGGGAAGATCGAATGAAATGCAAAATGGACGATCTGAATGACGGAGGTCACGTGTTCCGTGATAGATGCTGGAGACATCCTATAACTTACTATTGTCGGCCTGATCCATATAAGTTATAGTTCCTCCACCTTACCCATCAGTGTTAAATATTCGAAACTGATGAAGGGTCGGAGGTGTCAGCGGATAAGCAACCATTTAAAGGGTAATGAGAATTACTTCACTGATTCTCTCCTTTATGGTATGAATCACAAGAACGATCGATCCAGAGGAAGACAGCCGGAGAAGAAGCTGATTCCGAGGCCGGATGTCGATTACACTGGCGTTTGTTTCAAATGACATTGGTAACTTTGTATAATCTTGATGGACGACGAATCGTCAAAGATGCGGTTGTAACGGACTTGCTGATATTGAAAATCATGATTTAGAG